CTGGATGGAGCTCTGAAAGCGATAAGCAAGAGGGCAGCCAGAGAGCCAGCCCCTCCCCCACTCCCTTCCCTCCTCTAGTCTTGCTCTGAGACAGTCCCCTGGACACAGGTGGCCTTCACCACCAATAGAAGTAATGGCTGGTGATGGAGTTCCTTCTGCCAGGACTCTGGGGAAAGAAAGGGCCCCTTGGGCCGGCCAGCACCCCTCCTGAGAACACTGTTGCATCCTGGCTCCTTGACCCTCAGCACAGCCTTGATGTGGCATTTTTGGGCAAAGACAGGCCCTGATCACCTAACCCCTAATCTGCGAAGAAGTGTGAACGGTGTTGTGTAGGAGCCCCATTTAACACTTTGCAAGCTCGCTGTTGGTATTATTTCTGTACTTTCGTGAAATCACTTAGAAGTTTCACATTTTGCCACGTGAAACCATGTCTGTGCGTGTCCTGGACGGGGTGGATTCTGATGGAGGCGGTAGGTTTTCTGGGCTGGGTGCCTGCATTCACCACCTGGCTGGATTGTTCGGAAATACTTAACCTGGTACACCACACTCTTCATTCTTTGTTGACTGGGTTGGCATAAAAGCATTGTGGGGAATTGGATTGGGTCACTTTACTCTGTCCACCTGATTTCTTTGGCTGCAAAACTGTCAAAAGCATCTTTTCTGGGGTGGCCAGGTTTCTCTTGATCAGTGCTAACTCTGGTCCTGCTGCCTCTTGCCCTCCCTACAGGGTTGGCCAGGCTCCCCCACCTGTGGCTCTGGTGACCCTGACAAGTGCAGGTTCGCCAATGGCCACTGGGTGGAGCTCTGAAAGCAAGCCTGCCCCGGGAACCATTTCATGCTGGAAAAGCGCTGTGAACCGCATCCTTCTGCTCATAGCTTAAAGCCTACAGCACTTTGAACTTCATAGCATTTTGTCTTTGGCATCTGTTCCCTGGGCTTTTGTGATGTCAGTCTCAGGGCCCCGGGGAGTCTCGGAGGCCTCGTGAAACACTGAGGTACAGTCCCCACGTGGTCAAGTTCGGCTGTCTCCACCATCCAGGCCACTAAGGTGCAGTCATTCCAGAAGGTCCTCACAGTTCCTGGGGCTACCTCCCCTGCTCTGGAATCACGAGGTGGGCTGCCTTGCACGGGTGTCTGGCTGTTGGGATTCTGGGCGTCAGCAGTCTTCCTTTTCGTCTCTGAGCAGCACAGGCCTTGTCTGTCTCCTTGCCTGTTGATGGACAGGTGGGCCATCTCCAGGTCAGGCTCTTACAAACAAACCTGCTGTGAAAGCACAGGTGTGTGTGACATCTGCTTTTGCAGCTGGAACATGACTGCAAGCCTAGTTCTCTAAGTGACTGTTGAATGGCTGTCATTTTACAGCCCTCCCACTTTTCTAAGTCACAGCCCTCCCACTTTTCTAAGTCACAGCCCTCCCACTTTTCTAAGTCGCAGCCCTGGTGTAGGTCACATGGGAGGAGGTGGCAGTGGCCAGGCGGGACTGTGAAGTTTCTTAGACTGAGGTCAGAAGGGAAGGGACCCCAAGGACCTGAGGTGCTCTAGAGAGAGGGCTCGGTGATTGGAAAAGTTTGGGGAATGAATAACATCTTCCTTCTGGGAATTTTAAATGTGCGTGATAAGAATCCCTGTTCTACAGAAGTGAACCCAGTGAAGCCCGTGTGCCCTGTTTCTGTGCCCCCTTCCCAGACGCCCCCAGCATCCACGTGGGCTCTGCACCCTAGCAGCACAGCAGCAGGGGCTTCTTCACTTGCTGCGGGGCCCGTGGTGAGTCCTTCACCCACTTCAGCCTCCCTGGGGAGGTTATTGGGCATCTGTTGGAGTCTCTGCTGGTCCTACAGCTTTTGGCCCAGGGGTCCCTGGGATTTTCAGTTACTCTTAAGCCCAGAGCAGGAGGAGTCCCTGAGCTGCCCTGGTGCGGGTGGGCCCAAGGTGTCTTCAGGGCTGTGGTATAGCCTGGCCTGGACTCCGCTGGCTGGTCCTTTCGGGAAGTCTACTTAGCTCTGGGCTTCCTCTCGCCTCTGTATGAGGACAGGACAGTACACTGTTCTCAGATGCCAGGAGAGGCTTGAGGGACAGCCAGGCCCTGGTTGGCCTTCCTCCTTCCAGCACCTGCAGCTTCTCTGCACTCAGCACTGGCCTGGGCAGTTCTCACCATGCCAAGGGTCCCCCCACGGCCCTCAGGGCAGTCATGGCTTGCCCAGAGCTGGTGGTTCTGTTTGCCTTAGCAAATGGGGCTTGCTCATGTCCACCCTGGGGTCTCATTGTGCTTGTTCCTGCAGTGCTGGGGTTGAAACCCTGGTCCTTGTGCATGCCAGGCAAGGACTCTGAGCCACCCCCACCCCCTGGTTCATTCTGTGAAGACCTGTTCTGTGACTTTTGAAGACTCAGCCCTTCCCCTTGACACAGCAGCCCTCAGGACCCAGAAGTCACTCCAGCAGTCCCCCACCAGGTGCTGTGGTGTCCTTGCTCTCACAGCACCCCAGCACCCCACAAGATACTTTATGTTAACCTTTTAAGTGTAAGGAGGAAGGAGAGGGTTTCCCTGAGAAATGGCTCCCTGTCCACGTTCATCAAGTGCTTCCAGGCACCTGGCTGCTGCTAAGTGCTGTTTAGGAAGTCCCTATCTGTTCTAACCTCCCACTTCACAGCAGAGAAACAACCCCAGGGCCGAGAGCTTGCCTCGGGCACATAGGGATCCAGGCTGTGGGCTGGGCTAGGCCTGCAGCTGCCATGTACAAGCTGCTGGGGCCCACGGGAGAGGTGTCCCTTGTGGGGGCAGCAGCAATTTCAGCGTCTTCACATCATGTTAGATCATGCAGGGAACTTTGCCAGATGGTAGACGTCAGTGCCTGGGACAGTCAGAGCATCAAGGCTGGCACCTGCTTCATATTACGAAAATCAGAAAGGGTGAGCTGCCACTGGGCTTGGTTCCCATGACCCTCCTGAGCTTCCTGATATCACAGTGCCCCTTGGAGACTTTTGTGACCCCTATATCTTCCCTACCTTGCAGCAGCCCTTTTTAATCTCTTCCAGTAACCTTATTCTTGGTGAGGAGGTGTGTGTGTGTGTGTGTGTACGCGCTGCCTAGACTGAAGGTCTTGGAGTGTTTGTGGTAAATTATTGAGATGATTCTGTCCCCTTAAGTGCTGCTATTTTAGTGTGGTTGACACACCCCACCACCACCCTATCTCTGGAGGAAAGAACAGATGGTTTTCTGCGGTGCTGGTCTTCATATGGTGCTGCAGAAGTCTTCCTAACATCACATCATGTCAGAGGCCTGGTCCTGTGTTGACAGGGAGACTGAGTAGAAGCCACACTAAGAGCCTGTGACCAGGGCTCATGTCCAGGATAAATCAAGGATTTGCTCCAATGGGTTAGAAACATGGACAGATCCCCCCAAAGAGGTGCTGCTGCTGCATGAGAGAGAAGGTGCAGATGGCCTCGACCTCACTGTAGTGCACATACTGTTCTGGGGGACAGAAAATACAGATAAAGAGCACTACAGGGAGCAAGAATGTGCAGCGGCTGAGCTCTGGAGTGACGTGCGGTGCCAGTTGGCAGTCAGCCTGTTCCTGAGGAATGTGCCCCAGAGGGCTTGCTGTGGGCCCTGAGAGTTGCGTACAGAGCACCCTCCTGGAGGCAGCTCCGCCACAGTTGGCTGAGGTGGGAAATGGCCAAATGTCCACCACAGCAGAGAGGAAGAATCAGTTGTGATCTGCTGAACTGAGAGCCTGGGGTAGCAGTGAAAACGAGTGGAAAGGCCAGAGGCAGAGTCAGGGGCGCATAATATAGAAGCAGACTGATGAAGAAGACCAAAGTAGGGACTGGCATCAAAGTTGAGACCCAGGTCCCCTGGCCAGACGAGCAGTGCAGCCCAGCCCTTGCCTGGTTCTCAGGTACTGCCCTTCTGTACCCCATGGCTCGGCTATTTGGGGGAAAGCACCTTATTGAAGCCCAGGCTGCCACCATGTGGCTTTGTCAGGACTTTGTTCCTTTCTTAACCAAGCGGACTTACAGGGACTGGAGTTGGACTCGTGTGTTGTCATTGTCAGATGCAGGGTCAGAAGCTCTGAGGAGGGGCAGAGGCAGACAGGTGAGGAGCTTGCTCTGGCCAGGTAGTCTAGATCTGTTTGCTGACCTCGGGCTGCTGTTGTGGCTCAGTGGTAGAGCGCATGCCCAGCACAAGTGAGGCGCTGGATTCGATCCTCCGCACCACATAAAAATAAATAAAATAAAAGCATTGTGTATATCCATCTACAACTATAAAAAAAAAAAAAAGGAACATGACCTTCCATGTGCTTAGGTGATTACCTCAGCCCTAAGTGCATGTCACATAGCAATTGGTCAGCAGTAAGTACCCAGTGATGGTGGATTCACATGGCCACTTCTGTGACTTTTTAAAGAGCTGGACACATCCCTAGAAATTCACATTTTAAAAATTCAGAAGTTAGGTTATTAATAAGGTTTATGTGGTTAATGGTCTTCAATTGTATGGGGTTCTCTTCTTCCATATATTTTTTGAACATTTTAGTTTTTTTAAAACAAATTTTTTATTGTAGATGAACACAATACCTTTATTTTATTTTTTAATTTTTATGTGGTGCTGCAGTTCAAACCCAGTGCCTCTCATGTGCTAGTTGAGCCACAACCCCAGCCCCCAATTTTATTTTACTTATTTATTTATTTACTTACTTATTAGGTACTAGGGATTGAACCGAGGGGTGCTTCACCACTGAGCCACATCCCCAGCCTTTTTATCTTTCATTTTGAGACAGGGTCTCTCTAAGTTTCCCAGATTGGCCTTGAACTTATGATCCTCCTGCCTTAGCCTCCCGAGGAGCTAGGGTTTCAGGTATATGCCACCATGCCTGGCCCAGTTTTTCATCTTCACAGAGCACCAATCAAATGAGTACAGCCCTGAGAGTGGAGGCAACAAGTTAGAAATGAGAAGTCCCCCAAATCTTACAGCTGGCTTTAAATTCAAGAATTTGACATGCAGCTTAACTTCTTAATTTACTCCTGGTTTATTTTTTACCAAGTGCTTTTTATGAAAGAACAAGTGTTTGTTGTCTTCTTGATGTATCTGCCACAATTAGCAATAGGTCCAGTTTCCTGTAATGCATTGCATAACCTTTGTGATGGAAATCCAAGATTAAACTCACTTTTTGGTACCCTAAGTAATAAAACATGGCAGGCCTTGTGGTTTGATAAATTAATAATTAAATAATTAAGATAATTAATTTTAAATTATAATGTCAATAAATGTTGATGGCTAAGTTAATGGCCCTCAAATATAATTTTGAAAACCCCATGTCCTGGTGTCTTCAGATTCATGAGGAAATAGAGGACTGAGCTCATAATCCACCTTGGCTTTTTTCACCTAGCTCCTTATTCTCCTCTGAGTAGCTCAAATTCCTTTCGCTTCCTTTTTTTTTTTTTTTTGGCAACATGGCGGAATTGGAAATCTAACATGCTGGGAGTCAGAGAGACCTAAGGCCCCTCTGGCTCCTCCAGAATGAATTTCAGCACAGGAGCACAGATGAGTAGGTACCTGTGGAAAAGTGGGCCGAGCAGCACTCTGGCGTTAGCCACGGAGGCTGGGGCCAGGCGGGAGAGTAGGAGGCAGCAAAGGAGCAGGGGCTAAGGCCAGAGCGGGGGTTGGGTAGAGGAGATATCACCCCGTGAAGGGGCTCAGTCTGTGGGTGTCCCTTGCCCTATGTGTACCTCTGCCAAGAGATCTGACTTGGCTGCTGGATGTTCACTGGATCCATCTCAGCAGGGTGGGTGTGGCTGAAATTGATGCCAGTCGTGGGGCCCAGGGTCCTCTACACCCCCCAGAACTTGGCCACTTTGCACCCAAAGCCACTGATAAATTGGAAAGAAAAAAATGTGATTTGGGGTCCCTCCCTGCTTTGGGGAAGAGCAGTTGGATGGAGGAAGTCCAAGTGGGCAGAGGCTCTGCCTCTTCAGGTCTGTGCTGAGTGGGGGTCTGCCCCTTGGCAGGTATAGAAAGCATAAGCAAGGAAGAGGGTCTCTTACACCAGGACACCACCTCACCAGGAGCCCTCTCCATCTGGATCCTGTTTCTCCAGCTACCTGGAGCAGGCTGTCCTTAGCTTGACCTTGGGCCCTGAGTCTACTCATCCCAAGTCAGACATTTCCACAGTGGCCAGAGCCCCACCTGCAGGTCAGGCCAGGCAAGTATCTATTGGGTTAGGGTCATTTCTTCAGCAAACGTCAAGGTCAGTGGAGGGTTGGGTCTGGGTGGTGAGTCAGGCTGGGAAGGGATGGAGTGCTGACTGCTGTGCCCAAGAAGGGAGGGACAGTTAGGCTTGTGGCCTTGAAGGCTTGACCGAGACCCCAGCATACCTTAAAATGAAAATTTCAGTTAGAAGCAACACAGACAAGTGTCCTCCACTTCAGCCTTGAGGTTTATGAATAAGGAACTAGGCCCTCAGAGCTCACCAAGCACCTCACAGCCACTGGGGGCAGACAAAGCTGAGCATCCAGTGTATTTCCATGATTCTTTTTTTTTTTTTAATATTTATTTTTAGTTGTAATTGGACACAATGCCATTTATTTATTTATTTGTTTGTTTGTTTATTTATTTAATGGGGTGCTGAGGACCGAACCCAGGGCCTCACACACGCTGGGTGGGTGCTCTACCACTGAGCTACCACCCCAGCCCTTTCCGTGATTCTTCACAAGGCAAACTAACTCGAGCAGGTCCCAATTTGAGGAGATGTACTTTGTGTGTAATAAATAAAAGTAAGCAGCTACCTCTCAGCTGAATTTCCCTTCAGACCAGAGCAGGCGCTTGAGGCCCACGCACGAAGGCCATGCAGTACAGCCCGGCGCTATGGCCTTTGGGCAGGTGTTCCCAGGTGGACAGAGAGAATGCAGGGGCTAGCACAGCACCCCACATCATGCCAGTGTTTCTACAGAAGTAGGGGTGGTCAGGACAGCTCCACCACCCTGCACCCCTACAAGGAATCACCTGAGGGAAACTGTCCTGTTTGCAGAGCCTCCTGGGTTTTAGATTTGGGGATTAGGTGGCCGTGGGCCTGTAATTGCAGCCTAGAGAACTGGAATCGGGGCACATGGAGGATGCAGTGGAGGTTCTTCCCACACCCACGTTTTAAAGTAGATGTCTAGTAAGTATGAAGACAAAAGGTCCACTGAGGTTGACGGCGCGTGACTGGCCGGGCTGCAGACACCTCTAGGCTTGGCCTGGGGGGGCGGACGCCTCACCTGCATTGCCCCATGGCTGACATTCCTGTGCAGCTCTGCCCGAAGCAGACTAATCAGGGCCACTTTACAGTCTCTGATCACTGTGGGGAGCCCAGCTTCATGCCCTTCTGTGCCTTGCTGGCATTTCTACTGGTGCCCAGATCTCTGCCTCAGGAAGGCCCGTCAGCTTTGCTGTTGTGAGAAATCCTAATAGTGTTTTCTTCCTTCAGTTTATATTTCATTTTGTGCACACTTTGGGGAGTTGATTGGAAGGACAGATCTATCCTGAAAACACTAAGCTGCTGTTATCGGTGGGGGCAGGGGCATCAGGCAGCCCAGCCCTCCTGACTTGTCCCTGTTCAAACCAGCCACATCTGACACCTTCAGTGACTCCTGCGCAGCCTCAGTGTGCCTGGCAGGCGTCCTGAGTGCCGTCCTTGTGCCGAGTGTCTGCATTTCCTTGCATTGTTTCCTTCTTCTTGATAACTTGGCATTTTCTATGAAACATCTTTTTATATAAAAAGGGAGGTGTGTGAACCCTGCCTTCGGGTTCTCATCACATTTGAGAAAAGCCCGATGTCAAGGCTGCAGGTCAGCTGAGTGAGGACATGACCTGCATCTTCAGGACAGGTGCACAAGGTCGGAAGGCCAAGAAGTTAGCTGAGAGGCGCCTGTTCTTCACACAGGGCCCCTGTTGCTTTCCACAGCATGGCCTTGGCCCAGGGTTGGTCTTTTTGAGAAAAACCCCCTGTGCCATTCCTGCGTTAGTGCATCTCTTTCTGGGGAAGAAAGTGCCCGGCATTCCAGGTAACAAAGTGCTGTGCATTCAGTTGAACTTCAGTTTCCTCTGAGCAGCTCATCTCCCAGGCTGAGAGAGCAGGGAGGGAGGAAGTGGAGCCTCCCAAGTGTCCGTGGCTGGCTCTGGGCCCCAGGACTGGGCCTGGGGTACCCTCTTCCTAGGCCTGCGCCATCACCTGCTGTACTCCTGCGGGGTCCAGCGAGCAGCGCCGCTGCCCACAGTGCATTTTCTTTATCAGCCGCCGGAGTTTGGTGGGAAAGTTTTTGTTGATGTAGCGGTAGAGAAGTGGTGTCACCGAGCTGCTCACGAAGGCCAAGAATTTGGATAAATCCTTAGCAAAGTGCAGGATCCCCAGGTAGTGCCCATCCACAGGCCTCCCTCGTGAGACCAGTACCATGTGCCCCAGGAGGCTCAGATAGTATGGCGTCCAGAGCCCAAACTGCGTGCACACAGTGGCTACCAGAAGCCTGTGCACGGAGGGGTCCAACCTGCCTGCTTCCTGGTCCAGAGGCGTGTCTTCCTTCCGGATCCGTGAGATGAGCACCAGTGCATACAGCACAGCCAGGCCCGGCACTATGTAGCCAATGAGCACCAGGAGGGTATCTGCAGCCTCTGTGTTCTGCATCTTAGCACACTCCGTGATCCGGGAGGACACATGGCTGCAGATGTAGAAGAGCAGGGAGGAGAAGCTGGTCAGCAGTGCCCCACCCCAGACAAAGCCACACACGTGCCGCGTGTTGTAGACGCTGGCCATGTAGGTGCGCGGCAGGGCCCGCTCAATGTAGTAATCGAGGCTGAGCAGGGCAGTGGAGTACATGGTTACCAGGGAGGCCACATTGAACAGGATCAGCAGAGTCACGTGGGCCTCACTGCTGAGGCTCCACAGTGCCCACCTGGAGTAGGGGGAACCCAGCAGGTGCACGGGGGCCAGGGCCGTGAGCACCAGGCCCGCAACAGCCATGTTCACGAAGTACACGTCCGGCATGGTCATGCTGCTCTTGTTGCTCAGGTTGGCCAGCACCAGCAGGGCATTGTAGCCCAGGCCAACGGGGACACCCGCCACCAGATGGAGCAGCGAGAGGACCCACAGCCCTAGGCGCAGATCCTGGCACAGCTGCTCCTCGCCCTGACCCGTGCCATTGAGCAGGCCGCAGCTCCACATGGCAGCCTCACCAGGCTCTGCGTCTCTGTGGAGAAAAAGGACACTCAGTCACTCCCTGTCCCCTTGTTCAGCACCACCAGACTGCTGAGCCAGGAAGAAACTGCCCTCTGTGTGTATTCTATGAAAACCGGTCCCAAGCTGGGCTGCTGTGTCCCATCTCTACAGCAATGCCAGTGGGTGCGGTGAGGCTGCCGAACCCTGCTTTTCTGAAGGAAATGGCGTCCTGGGTGACACATGATGTGACAGAAACTGCTCCACGTATTCTCCTGCGTCCTAAGCCACAGCTGAGCATGGGTTCCTCTCCACCTGCGGAGAGCTACTACCACTTCCTGGCTCGGGGGGTAGGGGGACTCTTCAGGGTTAGAATCCACAGGACTCTGGGCACCTGGCAGTGCTGGGGCACCCCAGCCAAGTCCTGCACGACAGGCTGCCTCACAGGGCTTCCCACCTCATGTAACTGAGTGTGATGAGTATCTGCCACGAGCTAGGGTAGGAAACATAGTCTGTCCCCTGCTAGGATGTGAACACACACGCCCACCCGTGTATACCTGCTGAGCAGGAGCATCACGTTAGCAAGCGCACAAGCACACGAGTAGAAGGACAGTGCATGCAGGCAGGACAGGAATGTGCCACGTGAGTGGAGCTGAGGGGGCGCCGTGAGGAACAAGAGCCCCACAAGGGTCACTACTGGAGAAAGTGCATGGTGTACCCTGGAGCCCCAAGGGAGCTCTGGTTGACTTCTCAGAGCTCACAGCCTTCCCATTGCACCATCATGAGGCACAGCTGAACTCTCTGTTGGGTGTCCAGGACTGCAATCCTCAGGTTTGAGGGGTGCCTTTGGGAGTCAGCCTGGGGATTCCCTCTATCAGGACGCCCCAGCCTAGGGCCTGGCCCCTTGGAGCAATGCAGAGCCTGGGGACATAGCAAGTCTTGTAATCCAACAAGAAACTGGCAAGTAGAGGCATAATATAAACAGAACTCTCTGCTGTCCTAAGGACAGATGCCCTCGAGAGAAACTTTACCTTTGGAATGTAGTTTGGCCCAACCAGACTCCTGTTCTGGGAATAGAAAAGCGTCTCAGGCAGACACAGAAAGCAAACATCGCCGTTTCCCAGAGTGCAGGGACAAAGCGAGGAAGCCAGGCTGCCGGTGTTGGCACTGGTCCCGCCCGCTGTGGGCCCCGCCAGGAGGAAGCTCTGTGACCGCGTGACAAGCTGTTCCCCACTCGCCCCACAAGTCCTGCAGGCATGCATCAATTGTCCCTGGCTCTCCACTGCTTCACTGGGTCATGGTAGCAAGCGGGGAGGGACCCGCCACCCCAAAGCTCACACCAGACAGGTGGGCCACAGCAGCCACCACTGACAGCCTCATGCAGTCCCCCAGCATGGGTTCTCCTGCTCCCTGGGTTGTCCCCCACACCGCCTCAGCTGTCCTTGTCCCAGAGTCAGGTGATCAGAATTGGGCTGAGCAGGAGTTCCTGTTCAGAAGCAGGGCCACAGTCCTCAGGTGCAGATGTGTGTAGGCAGGTCACAGTCCTACCAGTGCCCCCTGCCTCTGGGACAGTGAGCACTGGATGGAGCCAGGTGCCCAGGGCTGGGTGCATGCAAGGCAGCCTTGTCCCCCCCACCCCCCCCCAGGACAAGTGTGTGCTCCAATTCTCCATGTGGACCAATTACTGCTCACTCTCAGACTGCAGTGTCTTCACCAAACCACCCTGGCCAGCACCTCAGGGACTGGTCCACTTGTGGGATATTGCTATCTGGTCTGACTGAGCGGCTGCCCCTTTTCTCTTTCCCCCCAAATGCCTGATGGCCAGTGTCCATGATTAAATGCTGCCTTCAGGTACATATGGTTCTTCCAGGCTCCTGCGCACTGCATCCGGCTGTCGCTGGAGGCTAAGCAGCAGCCCATATCCTCTGGCCCATGGCTGTGAATCCCCCATGAAATGCACATTCAGTGGCCACTGCTAGTGGGTGTCAGTGGACAGCTTCTCCACCCACTAGCATCCAGGTCTTGCCTGGTCACCAGCCCATAGCCACATGCCCACCAGCCTGACTTCACGTGGCATACAAGAACCCAAGATGTCCCTGTGATCAGAGGCTATATAGACTGCAGGTCTCTCTGCCAAGGAAGGGCCCTCCACACTATGTTGGGCACTGTGTCCCCCAGCTTATTTACAAGTGAGCCTTGGAGCTGCGCACCATATTCATCTGATAGGCCTGGTCAAGTGCCGAGGTCCCTTTCCCTCTAGTACAATGTCCCTGTCCCTACCTTGCTACTCACTGTGCCACAGCTTCCCTTGTCCCCATCCAGCTCTTGGCCCCCAGCAGTGCCAACCATCGGCTCTTACCTTTATCTCGTGTCCCGCATTCCTTGGTGGCGTGGATTCCAGACACCGGCGGCACGCAGCATGGCAAGGCCGAGGCAGCTACTGCAAACCAGAAGGACCTGTTATGTCTCTGGAAGCCCCACTGCCGCCTCCTCAGTGGCCAGGTGGCGTGGGCCTGCGGGTGTGTGTGTGTGAGGGCCTGCCACACGCTCGTGCCCGTGGAGGCCACTGCTTGTTTTCTTCTAATAAATTACTCACAAAGTTTCTGCCTCCCTTGGCAGCCACAGCAGCCCCTCCCTATCTCTGTTTACAGCTGGTTTTAAGAAATGAGAGGTGGCCCTTGGATGGGTCAGCGCTCCTGGAGCAAGCGTTCAGCTCCTCTCACCCGGCTTGGTAGACATCCAGGCTCCCGGGGCTGGCCGGGTTTGTGTGGAGGCTGTGGTGGCACTTCCCCTAGCCCTGCAGAGTGTCCTGTGCCGGGGCTGGAGCAGGGCTGGCAGAGTTGGGTCCAGGGTCCTGCTACACAGCATGGTTGAGAAACTCAGTTCTGAGTTCCCTCTTCCCTTGAGGAAATAAACTGAACAGACATTTGTCTGTAGAAACTAAGGACAAAATAGTTGGACCTCACTGAGACTCTACCATAGAGAGACTTTGGCTGCTTTCATTTCAGACCCAGGCACACAGAGAGCTCTTTGAAGGGCCAGGGCAGGCCCAGAATCTAAAGCATGGGGTGGAGGGGCTGCGCCTGCAGCACGCGCCCTCCCAGACACCCCAGCCTGCGTGGGTGGTTATCAGTGGGGATTAAAGAGGAACAGCCCAGAGGGGGAGGAGGCCGCCTGAGGTTCACCTGTCACGGGCTGTGCCTGGCTGGTCTGTTCCCTGCTGTGCCCTCCCTGGAGTTGAGTGGGGACAGGGGCTGCCTGGAGCGCTAATACCTGCCACCAGATTAGTGGAGCAGGAGGAGAAGGGAGCCTGTCGGGCCGTTGCATGGAACAAGCCTGTTTAGAATCTCTTGGGCATTTGTGTGCTGGCATGATCTGGCCCTTGGTTAGAGAGCAGCACCATGTGGAGTGTGTGTTTGCACTGGCTGGGACATGTAGGAGACAGTGGCCTCTCCGTGTTAGGTATGAGCAGCTTCTAAGTGTGTAAGAATTTATAACTTTATAGGCTAGAGGTAGCTTCTATATATAGTTTTCTTCCATGTCAATTATAAGGATGTTTTGCTTCAAATGAAGGTTATAAGCCCAAAGGTATCTATTTTTATCCATGTTCAGTCCATCTAAAAATGACATTCTTTTTGTTTTGACATGACCTCCCAAGAAGCAGCTCCCCCTACCAGGCTGTTGGAGCAAAGTGACAAGTTCCATCCCAGGCCGGCACTGTCTACAACAGGGACATGTAGAAAGAGGAGGCAGCTGGAGAGGGTGGGTGGGCACTACCACAGCCTTGGAGGCCAGCCCCCAGTCAGAGATGGAGAGTGACAATCTGCCATTTCCTCTGTGGCATTCAGAACACGGGTCTCTGGAAACTCAGTGGTGCTAGCGTGAGCTCTTCACCGGCAAGCTGTGGGCCGCAGCTGGGGGATGGACAAGATGAGATGCCGCGCCACAGAAGCACCACTGCCTCTGCATTTGGTAGAAGAGCTGTGACCCTTGGGGCTCGGGGAGACAAGTCAGGAAGTGTTCCTATCTCTCCTAATCACAGGGTGATGAGTGACATACTTCCTCCCATTATCACGTAGGGCTCCAGGGTGCCTGTCCCATTCAGGCAGTTGCCATACCATCTCCCCTGCCCATGCTCTGCCTGTGTTCCAGCGAGGTCTGTAGTCCAGGCTGGATGTGCCCACCATGCCACAGAGGGACACTGGCCCTGAAGGGCAGAGCTATCGGACTTACTGGCCTTTCGCGGTTCCTGTTCCCTGGCTGTTTGGGGAGGAAGGATGTCCTGCAGCTGGGGAACACGAGAAGGTTTCCACCCTGCAGCACAGGCCTCAGGACCTGGGCTGGGCTGCCCTTCGCTTAGCCAGGCCTCTAAGAACTCACTTCATGAGAACCTGTAGCCAGAACCAGGTGCTGGGAGATGGGGGACAGGGGAGAAATCCCCCCCAGTGGTCTCCTCAGAAGTGGACTCATCCCTGAGGGACTGAAGTCTGAGTTTGCTGTGACAGGAGGTTCTGGTGAGGCCCCTGGCTAAAAAGAGATGTGGGCGAGAGCAGAGAGGCTCGTCCCTGAGCCCATGCTGGGGCCCTTCTCTTAGCCTGGCCGAGGCCCGAGGCGCAGAGCACTCCTGGCACTCGCTCACATTCCGCCCATCTTCATTTGGAGAGCTGCCTGCCAGATGGCAGGATTAATATCAGCTTCCAGGCCCTGCCACCTGCTGCCATTCCCTTGCCCACAGGGCCCAGGTCAGCAGGACCCCAGTAAGCCTGACATTCTCGGACCAGAAGAGTGTGTCCCCACATCCCTGAGGCCCCAGTCACAAAGCGCTGCTTGCCCAGCTCCCGCAGGCCCCAGCTAATAGCCTCACATTTCTGGAGTCTTCGGAGTGGCTGTGCTGCCTCCTGCTGGAGCCCTCCCACCCACCCTGTCCAGCGGCCTCCCCATTGCTGTCCTCCTACCAGGCCTTGCTCCTGTCACCAGCTGGTTTGTCCACCTTCCTTCCATTCCTGTCACCAGCCTCTCCCACCCCTGAAACCCTCCCCCACATTTCCTGCAGGACCTGCCATACTCCCTGTTCCCACCCAGGTCCCACACCAGTGCCCACACCTCTCGGATCAGCACTGGGACCTACACTTCTCAGGCTAGGCCCCGGGCCAGGCCCTAACCCTGTCTCCCATCCCCTTTCCCCTGTAACTCCCCTGGTGTCCCTCCCCTAGCCTCTGCCTGGTAGCTGCTTGCCTCTGCTGACCGTGGCCCATGTGGCTGAGCCCCACCGCAGACGCCAGCCCTCGCACTTCAGCGGGACCTTGGTTCTCCCCCTCCTATGCGACCTCTGCCTGGCTGAGGGCCCGGTCGACCCCCAGGTGGCTTTTCTGACGGTTTGAAGCTCCAGTGTGACGAGTAAACAGTCCCCAGTCATGCTCTGACCCCGAGTGCGACTTCCTTAGAAGGCTGCCCTAGAGGACATGCAGCAAGCCTGATCCCTCTGCTTCCCCTGCTGTCCCTCCCACAGACCTCCAGCCTTTGGGATCCTGGTTGAAATGGTGCCAAGGTCACTTCCCTTCTCTGTGACAAGCCAGGATGTGGCAGGTCAAGCTGGCTCAAGGAGGCCGCACTGGCATGGCAGGTGCATTGCCAAGTTCCTACTCATGAACTAGCTGTCCTTCCGCCTGGAACCCCCCAGAGCCCCTGGAAGGACCAAGTGACAGCCCACCCCCGACTAGGAGCAGGGGGAATGTAGGGCCCATGCATGGACCTTGGGCTGTCCTCAGTGTCCCAGTTACAGTCATGTTACTGTCTCCCTGAAGAGAATTCATTAACTATATGAATGTGACACACATGCCCTCTTTCTTTTTTGTCCTTTTAATTATATGCATAAAAAAGAAAGTGTGCATTCCATGAGGCCAGGGCCAGGCCTCATGTGAGTGAATACAGAGGTCTAAGGTTCCAGCCAGTGGGCCTAGCAGAGAACAGGAGAAGGAAATGGGAGGCCAGCCTCACTGTAGCAGAGGGGACAGAGCCCAAACAAACTGGCCCATGAAATATGAACAGGCTGACTTACAGGCAGCTGAGCCCTGGGCTCACCTAAAACTTCAGTCCATCCATCCTGTGGCCTCTTCTCCTCTTTGTCCCCAAGAAACTACTCCCATAGCAACAGTATGCACTTCCATGGGCATCATAGGGAGCTGCAGTCAGAAGAGACAACTGGAACTGAGGTGCCTACAGGAGGCCACCCTGCGCTTCCTGGCCAGGAAGCTGTTTTTCTTTACACATGTGTTGAAAAGGTGCTGAGACTTCTGTCCATGCACTAGGTGGGGTGCTGGGCGAAGCCCAGCGGGAATCCCAGTGGCCTGCAAAAGCAACCCCCCCCCGCCCCCCGCCATAGAGGAGAGCTTGATTGGGTAGCACAGCCAGAGGGTCAGGGTTGCAAAAGTTACCCAGGCAGAAGTCCACAACCCACTTGTGGCTCTGTGCATTCCTGTCCAGCCTCTCTGCTGGCTTCTGGGTGACCTCAGGCTGACCTGTTGATCGTGCTTTCTGAGCCCGGCAGACTGGCATGATAATGAGGCAGGCCTAATTATTCACTGTGGTGGACTGATCAGGCCGTTGGGCACAGAGGTTGCGGCTCCCCTCTGAGTATACTAGGGTCTCCAGGGAATGCACCCTTTGGGGCTCCTTGTCCCTTCTGGTCTGAGGACTTGGCTGTTTCTGTAGCCTCTCTTTCTGGCCCCTCAGATGTGGTCTGGTGTCTCCTGCTGGACAACAGCTGATTGTTGGAGCCCTGGGTGGGGGGAAAGCTGGAGCTCCTTCCCACAGGGCCTGCTAGCTCCAGTTACTGCAGGAAGGTGCCCCCACCTACCCTCCAGCCCCAGTGGGTTCCCCTTGGCCTTCCCCTCGGCATCCCTCCTCCTGAGCTGCTGTAAAGCTCTTGAAAAAGAAAATCCAGGAAAGTCTGACTCTGGGGCCTGTTGGGACTGGCAGGGTGGTATCAATGGTGAGAGCAGAGCCCTCCTGCCGGCCGAAGCAACCCTTCCAACTGCTCCCTCTTGGGCCTCAATCTGTGTTAATGCCTGCCCAGGGTGGGTGGCTTTCTGCTCACTCCAGTTTCTTCTAAATTTCTAACTGCAGCCCCTCCAGCATGCCAACCTCTCCAAAAGGTACTGTTGGGCAGCCTTGAGGCATCTGGCTGGTGCACTCCATAGCACCAAGTCTGCCAGGTGAGAAGTCCCTGATCAAAGATGGGCACAGGCAGGCCTGGCGGAAAACAGCCTGCAGAACACCAAGTCCACTGCATAGCACCACCTGCAGCACCTGTGCTGACCAGCGAGTCCACATGCTGGCTGGTCTGGAAGGTCTGGGGCCCTGGCAACGTGAGTACGTGGTTGATCACTGCCACCAGACCTGGCTGATGGAATGGGACAGAGATAGGGACCCTTGAACAGTAGCTGCCATCCCCAGCTAGGGCTTCTTGCCCAGACAGCTGGGGCTACTGAGCAAGGTCCTTAAAACAAGGTACCACCAGCCCAAAACTTGGTGGCAGACACTGGCTGACAGTAGGAGGACTGGCCCGGTCCTTGTTCATCCCATGCTCTGTGAGGGAGCATGAAACAGGGACTCTAACAGACGGTGCTGGCTGAGTGAAAGCTTTTGCCCTGCAGTGTGCAGAGAGTTACTGGGTCCCCCCTGGGACCCAGCAAGGGACCCCTGTTGCCTACAAGAACAAATATACTTAATCCTAACATTATCATGGGGATTTCCCTAAATGGGAAACTGAGGCACAAAGTTAAAGGGAGTGTACCTTCATTCTTTTCTGCTCATAATTTAAACATCTCGAGGGTGTGTGTGCCTCTGAGTGGGCCACAGAGGGTCCATATGGGGCTTCTCTACCCAGCACTCTTATCTCTGCTGAGGCCATTAGACAGCTCTGCAGTGACCTGCTTGCTCTTAATAGTTAAGGGGAACTGCACCCACATTGCTCAGGACCCCAGACCCACCAGCAGCCAGCGTATGGACCCACTAATCAGCACAGTTGCTGCAGGGTGGGACTGTGCGGAGAGACTCAAGTTAGAGACAGCATGAACTGGCACAGAGGATTTTAAGGGAAACTCCACCCCCCCAAGTGTCCCTGTGAAGGAAGTACTTGGGATTTCAGGCTGGGGGATGGAGCTGTCGGGATTTGCATACCAGTCTTTCTGCTTATAAGCTGTGAAACTTTGGCTACCTCTATGCCTCATTTTTCTCACATTTAGAAAAAATCCTCATGAGTTTGTAAGAGAATTAAATACACCCATTCTCCCTGCAGAAAGGTGTCCTGCATCTGCTGACCCTAGGCTGGACCTGGTGGTAAGAGGACTTGGCTTTGGATATTTAGTCTCCTCCCCAGCTCTCATTAGAGGCAGAGGAAGCCAGTCTGTGACCTTTCACTTAGAATCTTTGATAACCGACACATTGGAAAGAGAAAACCATAGCAAAGGTAGAAATGACAACAACATGAGCCCAAGTGACAACCATGTGTAAGCACCATGAGGGGGTGGGTGGAGCCACCAGGGTGAATGCAAGAGGAAAGAATCCAGAACTCACACTGTGGGGACCTGGCTTACTGCAGCCGCACACACTGTCACATGGCAGAGGCTTTGCAAACATGGGAGTCTCTGTGCTCTGAGTTTGGGCTTGGTAATGACACAAAATGGTGTGCTTCCTGATGTTGCTCTGGTATTAAACTCCTGTGTAAATATTCGTTTCTCTGGTATTTACCTGCTTTCCAAGGGACGGGGATCTGGGGAGAAGAGCAGGATTCAAGGGTCTCGGTTCTTTTCTGCTCATAGCTTAAAACATCTTGAAGCCCTCCATGCCTTTGGTGAGCTGCAGAGGTCCACGTGGGGCCACTCCAAACAGTAGACATTCCTAGCTCCCCTGAGGCTACAGGGAGGCACTGCAGTGACTCCACTTGCATTCACAGGAGACAAGGATGAGGCCACATTCAGGCTAGCTGTGAGAAGCTGTTAGGATTAAGTATATCTGTTCTTGAAGGTGAGATGTTGACATCTTTCTTCCTGTGCTTGTTTAAAAAGAGCCCATATGGTATAAACCAGCTTAATAGTGAATGTACTGGAGCAACAGAATGACCAGGGCTGAGTAAATAGTGATCCCCACTGGCAATGAATGGCCAGGAGTGGCTCTGAGGCAAGAGCCCCTGGAGGGGACCAACTGTGAGTGACATCGAGTTAGCAGAACAAAACCCCACAGGGGAACCTCCCTGCTTCTAGGTAGCTGAACTAGCGTCACTAATACCCTGTCATTTCATTTCTTTTAATCAGGAAATTGTGTTCTCTGTTTGTTAAGGACTCATTAAAACCACAGCCTGCCACTCCCACACTGATGAAGTCCCACTAAATCTCAGGACATCCTTTTTCATTGTTTGAGGTCCATGCCAGGGTGCCCTCCCTTGCTTCCCCTGTTCACCCCACCCTAATTCTGGATCCCAGCACCTCCTTGGCCACTATCTCCCCTTGTCCTCAGTCATTCATGCTGAATTAAGACTGTCTGCATAACCATCTCTCTTTGCTACCAATGCAGAGCCTTTGCAGGTAGGGGAAGTGTCTCTGTATTGCCCCAGCAGCCTGGCCCAAGGTCCAGATTAGAAAGGATAGCAACCAGGTGGGGTTGCAGTGCCCCTGTTACAGGACAGTGGTCTTGTCTGTTTTGACTCCTCAGAGAGTTAGATTTCCCTGCAAATAGATTTACAAGGCCTGGGAATTGTGTGCTGAGAGGGTTAGCGGGAACCAGTAGGCACGCAGCTCTGGTTGTGTCTGTTAGGAAAGAGACTTGTTGTGCACAAGACTCTCAACTTTGAGTGAATGTTCTGGAGCAATAGTGTGCTCTGAAAATGACT